AATTCTGGGGAGAATCGGATATACATGTTTAGACGTAGGTCATATGTCCAGATATCGGATGCGAAAAAAGCAGATCTCGTGCGGATTTATGTGTTTATACGTGTCTGATCTGTGTCAGATTTCAGTAAAGAAAAATCTGAATAGTTTTTTTTTTTTTTTGTGCCAGTGTAATCGCAGCCTAATACTGGGTTTTTATTCAGATAGTTCTCATGTCGTTTGACCGCCAGGTATTTTTGGAACTTCCCATTAGGGAACTACAAGAACTCTGCTAAAGTTCTTCTTTGTGTTCCATAGAAGAAAGTCATGCAGGTTTAGAACAAAATGAGGGAGAGTAAATGTTTCATTTTCATTTTTGGGTGAAGAAACCCTTTTTAACATTGTGATTTGAAATATAACACATTTGACTTTTGCATTCTGTGATTTGTATTGACAGAGCGAGAACAACCAGTGACATCTAACTCCATGGCAACCTCAGCAAGAGATCTCCATCCCATAATCCTCCCCCATCCAGCCCTATGTTTTTAAAAGCCGTTTACAGCATGAACTCCTCAAGAAGGTTTCTCCACTCCGAACAACAGCACACACCAGCACTATATCAGTGGATGAAGCTCAATAATATCAAGAGGACAGCGCATCGCCATGGTTTGGATTTGGTTTTAATTTCATTGGACCCATTTTGTGTCTTTTTTATTTTTATTTAGCTTTTTGTTTTGTTGGAAAAAGCAGCAGGATCTGAAATTGTACTATGCATTTCTAATGCTGTTCACACATTGTATTTTTAGACAACTTTTTTTCAGAGGCAAAATGAAATGCTCTATTTTTTTATACGAAATTACTTGAAATTTCCTATCATATCTACAGGGCTGAATGCTCAAATCCAGTTTGTGAGATTGTTAGATGACGTATTATGCTGAAGAGTGCTTACATTGTGTACATAGTGTACCTTATGAGATGTAAAAAAAACAACAATTTGATTGTACAAAATGAGGAGACATTGCATTTGGTTAAAACAAACAGACCAAACCAGCATTGTCTGATGTTGTAGAGTCTTACTTTTCTTTATCCAAGAGTAGCATCCATGAATAAAACTGCTATCATTTAGTTTCTGTAACGATGTGTTGCTTCATTCACTTTTCCCAGGCTGTCAACCACTGAGCTAATATTATTGCTCATCTCTCTATAGACTAAGCTGGCCATATTTTACAATAATATTGTTTTCCCTTTTACTGTTAGATCACTTTGTGTTTAGTGTGAAGGTAGATCTCATGAAGAAAGTCCAGTTCATAATTCACCCTGAAATAAAAAATGTAGCCTTTTTAAGACCATTAACTTTTTCACATGGTGACATTTTCGTGACAATTAAGCACGTTTCCCCCCAAATCCTTAATACTGTAATGTAGGAAAATGTTATTGTTATTACTGTAAAATATTTGTTTTGTTTTTTACTTAAACCAACAAATTCAGTATATTCCTGTGAATATTCTTGAAAATCCCCGTTTTCCACTTTTTCACATTACAATGCTTAATTATGAAAATCTTACAATGAGAGAAATCTTAATTGTAATTAAATAAACTTTAACATGATAAACATTTCTTGTTTAGGAGTGAAATACACTCTTTTAATGTCTTTGAAAGAAGTCTCTAATGCTCACCAAGTCTGCATTTATTTGATCAAAAAAAGTAATATTGTGAATTATTACAATTTAAAATAACTTTATTTGAATGTATTTTAAAACATAATTTTCTCATTCAGCCATTACTCCAGTCACACCATGATCCTTCAGAAATCATTTTAATATACAGGTCCTTCTCAGAAAATTAGCATATTGTGATAAAGTTCATTATTTTCCATAATGTAATGATAAAAATTAAACTTTCATATATTTTAGATTCATTGCACACCAACTGAAATATTTCAGGTCTTTTATTGTTTTAATACTGATGATTTTGGCATACAGCTCATGAAAACCCAAAATTCCTGTCTCAAAAAATTAGCATATTTCATCCGACCAATAAAAGTGTTTTTAATACAAAAAAAAAAAAGTCAACCTTCAAATAATTATGTTCAGTTATGCACTCAATAGTCAATACTTGGTCGGGAATCCTTTTGCAGAAATGACTGCTTCAATGTGGCGTGGCATGGAGGCAATCAGCCTGTGGCACTGCTGAGGTGTTATGGAGGCCCAGGATGCTTCGATAGCGGCCTTAAGCTCATCCAGAGTGTTGGGTCTTGCGTCTCTCAACTTTCTCTTCACAATATCCCACAGATTCTCTATGGGGTTCAGGTCAGGAGAGCTGGCAGGCCAATTGAGCACAGTAATACCATGGTCAGTAAACCATTTACCAGTGGTTTTGGCACTGTGAGCAGGTGCCAGGTCGTGCTGAAAAATGAAATCTTCATCTCCATAAAGCTTTTCAGCAGATGGAAGCATGAAGTGCTCCAAAATCTCCTGATAGCTAGCTGCATTGACCCTGCCCTTGATAAAACACAGTGCACCAACACCAGCAGCTGATATGGCACCCCAGACCATCACTGACTGTGGGTACTTGACACTGGACTTCAGGCATTTTGGCATTTCCTTCTCCCCAGTCTTCCTCCAGACTCTGGCACCTTGATTTCCGAATGACATGCAAAACTGAGCAACAGTCCAGTGCTGCTTCTCTGTAGCCCAGGTCAGGCGCTTCTGCCGCTGTTTCTGGTTCAAAAGTGGCTTGACTTGGGGAATGCGGCACCTGTAGCCCATTTGCTGCACACGCCTGTGCACGGTGGCTCTGGATGTTTCTACTCCAGACTCAGTCCACTGCTTCCGCAGGTCCCCCAAGGTCTGGAATCGGTCCTTCTCCACAATCTTCCTCAGGGTCCGGTCACCTCTTCTCGTTGTGCAGCGTTTTTTGCCACACTTTTTCCTTCCCACAGACTTCCCACTGAGGTGCCTTGATACAGCACTCTGGGAACAGCCTAGCCTGGCTGCCAGCCCGAACCCCGCCCACAACAATTTTTGGTCGGGAAGTTCGGTCTGGACTTGATCCATTGAGGAGTAATTATGATCAGTCAAAAAATGGTCGGACCAATCAAATTGCCAGGGCGGGCTTTATACGATGATTGACAGATGAGGTGCAGTTACGTAATCCTCACGTCACCAAAGAGCGCTTGGGTTGAATTCGTTTACAACAAAGTTCTGCCGCTGGAGAATTGAGATTTCACGAGTTCACACTTACAAATAAGCCAGATAGAATAAATGCGTATATGACGTGCTGTCCGAAGAGAGGGCTCCGTGATCGGTATTCGGCCCGAACCCAGAGTACTCCCCGTATTCCTGGCTGTGAAAGAACAAGCCAAGAGTGAGGATTCAGGGTGGTGGAGGGATGCTGAAAAACTGTCGAGGAGTGTTAGGTGAGTTAGAGTGAATATGCTGATAGGGTAACGTTAGACATGTTATTGTTTGATGACAAGTTAATTGGATTGATTATTTGAATGTGCTCCTCCCGAACTTTGTTTATGAAATAACAATAATCATGTGTATATTCCGCCATCGCATCTGTTATAGAAGATATCGACCGCACATTGCTTTTAAAAGAGGGACAGAGAACCGCGATCAAGGCATTTGTCGGTCGGAAAGATGAATGAAGAACATGCGTCATTTACTCCGTTGCTCTGATTGGTTGTAGGTCTATCCAATTTAGTGCAGAGGCATTTTCTTTTCTGGTTCGGTTGAAACACGCCCCATAATCACAGCCCAATGGATCAGTTTCAGACTCACATTCTTTCTAGAATATGAGTATGATGAAGTCAGGCTAGGAACAGCCTATTTGATCAGAAATTTCTTTCTGTCTTACCCTCTTGCTTGAGAGTGTCAATGATGGCCTTCTGGACAGCAGTCAGGTCGGCAGTCTTACCCATGATTGCGGTTTTGAGTAATGAAACAGGCTGGGAGTTTTTAAAAGCCTCAGGAATCTTTTGCAGGTGTTTAGAGTTAATTAGTGGATTCAGATGATTAGGTTAATAGTTCGTTTAGAGACCCTTTTCATGATATGCTAATTTTTTGAGACAGGAACTTTGGGTTTTCATGAGCTGTATGCCAAAATCATCAGTATTAAAACAAAAGACCTGAAATATTTCAGTTGGTGTGCAATGAATCTAAAATATATGAAAGTTTAATTTTTATCATTACATTATGGAAAATAATGAACTTTATCACAATATGCAAATTTTTTGAGAAGGACCTGTATGTGATTTGCTGCTCAAGAAACATTTATTATCAACGTTGAAAACCGTTGTGCTGCTTCATAATTTTGTGTAAACCGTGATACATTTTTTCAGGATTAGTTGATGAATAGAAAGTACAAAAGAACAGCATTTATTTTAAATATAAATCTTTTATAACCATGTCTTTCCTGTCACTTTTGATCAATTTCATAAAAGTATATATATATATATATATATATATATATATATATATATATTTTTTTTTTTTATAAAGTAAAAATCTTACTGCCCCCAAACTGGATATTTCTTGACCATTTTTGTTAGATTAAACCCATAATATTTACCGTAATTTCCATCACTGTGTTCTATGAAGGTTTAAGACAGCAATGATGGGACATGACTTGACACTTTAAGCATGGTAATTCTTGGTGCACCAACAATGAAAGCATTGTCAAACTATGTAGAAGGGGCTTTTAAATGTTTTCACTTTCTTCCCAGAAGAACAGTGTCACACACAACTGGTCACAGCAGGTTTAGAGCTGCGTCACATTACAAGAACTGCTACACTGCTGGGAAACTCAAGTGGAAGAGAGCCAGACCTATACTGTCATCAACTGATGGGTGGAGAGATGAAAACAAAGTATCAGCATGACTAGCAATATAAGAAAAAAACGACACGGGACACAACATTTGGCAAAAATAATGTTACGGGTTATTATTTATGTTCTATTTCACTTATTTACAAGCAAAATGTGTATTGAACGCTTTGTGCAGTTTGACAGTTCAACATCAGTGATTCTCTGATTCATGTTATAAACACCTGCATTTCAGCAGAGTTGAACAAGCATGTCCAGACGCAAGCGTGATGTTTCAGCCACGCTTCAGAAGAGAAGAGGTGGGATCCCGCTACCGAACAGCAGCTTCCATGAGGGAGGAACCCGCCACTGCACTGAGCCCTGCATCTGAGAGAAAACAGCACATTAACAAAACAGCAACACTATCTTTCACTTCTGAAATTATGTAACCACATCCTTCTAAGGTAATGTTCCATGCTCAACAAGTTTTGAAATTTATTCCAATGGTCCTTCTGCATGATTTTCTTTTATAATAACCAGATCCCATTTCCTCAAAGGTCCTTAAAGTCTTAAACTAAGTTTCGTCAAATTAAAGGCCATAAAAAGTCATAAATATGTTAAATGGTATAAGAAAAGTCTTACTTATAATTTCAAGAGGTCTATATTTGGGGACAGAGAAAACAGGAATCGCGATATGGCTTAATGCGAGTTCTGCAAATTTCAAAGTAAAAACACGGCACAGTTGCAGTTTACAGCCTTGCGGTTCGTGACCAATGAATAACCCACATTTATGCCAAGCGACTGTTTATGGTTTACTGTTGATTAATTATGACGAGGTGTACTTTTATGGTGTTTATATCATACCTGCAAACTTTTCACCTTACTGGCAGAGAATACATTTTCATTCTGCTGTTTTTGTTCAGATCAATGCAAAAATCGAACCATATTTTTATGCAGCATACACGCACTGTTATAAATGTTAACTGGTTGATCGACGAGAATCTAATATGGATTCTAAAAATCAGGATAATAAGGTGTGTGTTTGTGAGTGTAACATTCCTGTTCCTTAAGGGTTAGTTCACCCAAAAATGTTAATTATCCCATCTATCTTCTTTCAGACGAACACAATTGGAGTTACATTAAAAAATATCATTGCTCTTCCAAGCTTCATAATGGTAGTGAATGGCAGTCCTGATTTTGAAGTCCAAAATAACATCCATCATAAAAGTAATCCATACGACTCCAAGGGGTTAATAAAGGCCTTCTGAAGCAATGCGATGAGTTTTTGTAAAAAGAAATATCCATTTTTAAAACTATATAAACTAAAATAACTAGCAAGTCAACTTACGCCAAAAGAGTAACTCCTGACGCGATGTATGACGTAGGATGTAAGAGTAGCGTGAGCTTTGCCGCCTTTCGCGGTTCAAACAAACAGGGCTGGGCAACAAACTCAAGCTCCTCTTCTCTTATATCAAAAATCCTCAGACATTTCTCTTTAAAAATTCTCCTTTTAGACTTCTAATTATTGACCGGTGTTTTGTTTTGCTCTATCCTCTGCGCTTCTGCGTTTATCAATACGTCATGCGTCAGGTCAGGTACTCTTTCGCCGTAAATCGACGCGAACGGCCGTCTGTCGGAAGCTAGTTATTTTAGTTTAAAGTTATAAATATGGATATTTTTCTAACACAAATGCATTGCTTTGCTTCAGAAGGCTTTTATTAACCCTCTTGGAGTCGTATGGATTACTTTTATGATGGATGGATGCACTTTTTTGGACATCAAAATCAAAACAACCATTCACTACCATTATAAAGCTTGGAAGAGCAATGATATTTTTTAATACCTCCGACTGTGTTCGTCTGAAAGGAGATAGTCATATAGGATGGCTTAAGGGTGAGTAAATCATGGGATAACTTTCATTTTTTGGTCTAGGTTTGATTTAGATTTATTATGTTATAAAATTTTGTTTTTGTCAAAACATATTTGAGCTGTAAAGTTGTTTGAATGCTGTTTTTTTTACAGTCATTTAGGGTTTCATATTTTACCGTAGACATTGCCCTACTCCACTCATACAGTATTTTTTTTTTTTTTTTGCAGGTCTTAATAAGCCTTAAATTTACCTGATTTACCAGATTTCCTGTTTGTTTCATCAGCATTATTCAGGTTCACTATATTTTCTCCCACACTTACAGGTTTTTCCAGCAGATGGAGCCAGTCATTGAGATGGTTGATGAGAGCAAAAGCATCAGGGATGTTGTCCCCTTCTGAGCAGAAGATCAGCACTACTGCCATAGGGATGTCCTCTGTGCAGCTGAAAGACAACAAACTCCATTGGCCGAATTCACGATTGTAGATTTGATCATTTTACGATTTATGACAGTTTTTACCAGTCTGTGTACAGGGCTTTGGTCACTCCTCCTCCAGGAATGTAGAGCCGCTGCTCTGAGTCGGAGATCTCAGGGAACACGCTGATTCTCTCCATCTCCCTCCAGCCCAGCTCCTCCACCCGCTGGCCCTCCTCCTTCTGCAGAGACGGGCTCAGCAGGTACCGCAGAGGAGTGCTGCTCAAGACCACACAAGCATTTAAATAATACCGATACAAAAATATTTGAATCATCTGGGGTTTTGGTGACTTTTAGTGGATGTCTGAAGTCAGTTCTCCTTAAGTTCACACATGTGTAAAGAATCATCTTCTAAAGTCTGAAGCACAATACATTTGTATATTTTTTCATCATTTAAAGGTGCAATGTGTAATATTTCTGAGGATCTATTGACAGAAATGCAATATAAGATCCATAACTATGTGTTCAGTGGTGTATAAAGACCTTACTCAATGAACCGTTATGTTTTTATTACCTTAGAATGAGACATTTATATCTACATAACCGCGGGCACTCCCTTTTATGAAGGTCGACATATTGTGACGTCATGTTTCTACCGTAGCCGACAGCGAACAAACAACGCTACAGAGCGCGTTTCGTTCATACCTTGAAAGAAAAGCAGCAGAAAGCTAGAAGCTAGCCATAGACACCGTGAGTAGTGACTTTTCCCTTGTCAGTGGTGTAAAATATGTAGTTGGATTTTTTTCATGTAACTTAGTTCTTCTCCCTCGCTGTGTTATGGCTTTGACAATCAGCTGATTAGTACGATTGACCGTAAAACAGCAAGTTACAGGAGTCACCAAGTCGATCAATATTTTTATTCATTATTATTTATTAATGTGTGTGTAGTAAATGGTGTCTAGGGGATGCGGAGGCGCGCGCGCTGTTACAATCACGTAATTTTTGCCGCGCGCACCTTTGCGCTCATGCGGACGCGTCGAGTATAAACAATGCTTTACGCTTTAACCAGCTCAGCCACAGCCCCACAGCATTACAGCTCATATTAGCCAGCTAAACGTTTACTACCCATTAGAAAAAATATATGTAGTTGGATAGTTTCATGTGGTTCTTCTCCCTCGCTGTATTATGGGTTTGCTATGTGGGGAGAAATGTGCTGGTTATGTTCGTGAGACAATCAGCTGATTACTATTATTATATTATATATTAAGACCCTTGATCCTCACCTGACTATAGCTTTGTAAACTTTATCCATGATGTGGTTTATAATGGACTGTGGTACAGAAACAGTGACAATGTTACACACTCTTGGCTTACTCTGGCTATTCTCTGCTGTCTCAGACGACGATATGTTTGTCCCGTTTTAGCAACTGTAGCTTCTTCGAAAGGGAGGGGTGAGCAGTGGGCTGAGCCATTAGTGCAACTCACAACCGAACCGCAAGATGCCGCTAAAATCTACACACTGCACCTTTAAAACATGTTTTAATTGAAAAATAAAAAAGTGTGTGTGTGTGTGCTACCTTAAAATGCATGGCGTGAGGTTTGAAAATTGTTATCTAATATAATATCAAAGATAAGAAAATGAACTTAATAATGCAATGACATTTATACAATTTTGTGTACATTCTATCTGTCCTCACTGTTTCATTACCCATGAAGCTGTTGGTCGTCTCTCTGATAAGCGTAACTGCTGGACAGCAGCACACTTCTGAGGAATCCACTACTCTTGATCCAGGAAACAATCAGCTTTCGGAATGATCTGACCTTTGTCTAAAATGAACAGTAAACAGCAAAGAGTCATGTGCAAGTGAAATAAAAAAAAAATGTATCTGTGATATATCGGCCGATATTTGGCATTTTATAATTAGCGACGTCAGCTAAAAAAATGTCTTTTTGGCCAATAAGTGTTAGAATCGGGAATTTTATTTTGACAGCATTAGGACTTTTTTTGGCAGCACTGAGATGGCAGAGGAGCTATGGTTCTCCGTCTGCATAAGTTTAATGTCTTTGTTTAACAGTTCAGTCAGATCAATTATTAAACAGAAATAATGTATTAGAATGTTAAAGTAAACAGTATATGAAAAACTGTTACAGTGTTTTTATCAAGTACAAATTATTTTCATGTTGCTTTATTTTCAAATTATTTCTAATTACCGGTATATACATGATTAAACTGAATAAACAGTTGACAGTATATATATATATATATATATATATATATATATATGTATAAGCAGTTACGCTTTATATATTTATATATACACTCACCGGCCACTTTATTAGGTACACCTGTCCAACTGCTCGTTAACACTTAATTTCTAAGCAGCCAATCACATGGCGGCAACTCAGTGCATTTAGGCATGTAGACATGGTCAAGACAATCTCCTGCAGTTCAAACCGAGCATCAGTGTGGGGAAGAAAGTTGATTTGAGTGACTTTGAACGTGGCATGATTGTTGGTGCCAGAAGGGCTGGTCTGAGTATTTCAGAAACTGCTAATCTACTGGGATTTTCACGCACAACCATCTCTAGGGTTTACAGAGAATGGTCCGAAAAAGAAAAAACATCCAGTGAGCGGCAGTTCTGTGGGCGGAAATGCCTTGTTGATGCCAGAGGTCAGAGGAGAATGGCCAGACTGGTTCGAGCTGATAGAAGGGCAACAGTGACTGAAATAACCACTCGTTACAACCGAGGTATGCAGCAAAGCATTTGTGAAGCCACAACACGCACAACCTTGAGGCGGATGGGCTACAACAGCAGAAGACTCCACCGGGTACCACTCATCTCCACTACAAATAGGAAAAAGAGGCTACAATTTGCAAGAGCTCACCAAAATTGAACAGTTGAAGACTGGAAAAATGTTGCCTGGTCTGATGAGTCTCGATTTCTGTTGAGACATTCAGATGTTAGAGTCAGAATTTGGCGTAAACAGAATGAGAACATGGAACCATCATGCCTTGTTACCACTGTGCAGGCTGGTGGTGGTGGTGTAATGGTGTGGGGGATGTTTTCCTGGCACACTTTAGGCCCCTTAGTGCCAATTGGGCATCGTTTAAATGCCACGGCCTACCTGAGCATTGTTTCTGACCATGTCCATCCCTTTATGGCCACCATGTACCCATCCTCTGATGGCTACTTCCACCATGTCACAAAGCTCTAATCATTTCAAATTGGTTTCTTGAACATGACAATGAGTTCACTGTACTAAAATGGCCTCCACAGTCACCAGATCTCAACCCAATAGAGCATCTTTGGGATGTGGTGGAACGGGAGATTCGCATCATGGATGTGCAGCCGACAAATCTGCGGCAACTGTGTGATGCCATCATGTCAATATGGACCAAACTCCCTGAGGAATGCTTCCAGCACCTTGTTGAATCTATGCCACGAAGAATTGAGGCAGTTCTGAAGGCAAAAGGGGGTCCAATCCGTTACTAGCATGGGGTACCTAATAAAGTGGCCGGTGAGTGTATATATAAGCACATACACTCACCGGTCACTTTATTAGGTGTAATACGCCAAATTCTGACTCTAACATCTGAATGTCTCAACAGAAATCGAGACTCATCAGACCAGGCAACATTTTTCCAGTCTTCAACTGTTCAATTTTGGTGAGCTCTTGCAAATTGTAGCCTCTTTTTCCTATTTGTAGTGGAGATGAGTGGTACCCGGTGGAGTCTTCTGCTGTTGTAGCCCATCCGCCTCAAGGTTGTGCGTGTTGTGGCTTCACAAATGCTTTGCTGCATACCTCGGTTGTAACGAGTGGTTATTTCAGTCACTGTTGCCCTTCTATCAGCTCGAACCAGTCTGGCCATTCTCCTCTGACCTCTGGCATCAACAAGGCATTTCCGCCCACAGAACTGCCGCTCACTGGATGTTTTTTCTTTTTCGGACCATTCTCTGTAAACCCTAGAGATGGTTGTGCGTGAAAATCCCAGTAGATTAGCAGTTTCTGAAATACTCAGACCAGCCCTTCTGGCACCAACAATCATGCCACGTTCAAAGTCACTCAAATCAACTTTCTTCCCCATACTGATGCTCGGTTTGAACTGCAGGAGATTGTCTTGACCATGTCTACATGCCTAAATGCACTGAGTTGCCGCCATGTGATTGGCTGCTTAGAAATTAAGTGTTAACGAGCAGTTGGACAGGTGTACCTAATAAAGTGGCCGGTGAGTGTACATACACCATAGCTTATATATTTCTAATTTTCTAAATGGACCTATTTCTAAATTTCTAATAATCTCTCATTTCTACTAGCCTGGGTTTCCCCATACTGCCTTTGCGCAGCGCGATTTTATTCACGCTGCTAGGCAGTCTGGATACCATGGACCAAACTTTCGCCTCAGCGAGGGGACCAATCACAGAACGGGAAGGGAGCAGCAAGACGATGATGACGTCTATGCGACACACCGAAGCAGTTTGTTTATACCTATGGATCAAACATGGCAGCAGACGCGAAGTTACCTTTCGATGCAGCCTTAGATCTTGTTCTAAGTAGTTTAGAACGCAAATAAATCTCTGACCCATCGTCTTCTTTCTCGTCTAATTTCTATCGCTCTACATACGTCATCTGGTATAATTCAAACGATTGGCTATGAGCTACGTACAGGCGCATTTGATAGACATTCGTAGCACCCAATAAACGGCTCTGGGCATTCGTAAACCACGCCTCAAATACGAGAAAATGAACATGTGGTTCCCAGACCACGTCTCAATGTCAATGAGACGTGGTCTGATGTTAGCTAGGCTACATTTCTACATATATTTCTAATAAATTATTTATATATATATATAATTTTGCTATATATTCAATTGATTTAAATAAATGTATTAAAATAAATTAATATAGTACTATAATACTATAGTGAGTTAAAGATGTAATGATAACATAATAGAAACTGAACATTTTCCAAATGATACTTTACATAGTTATAATGTAAATTTTTCACAGTATTAATGGGGTCTTTATACATGAAAATATATAGCTGCGTTTTAAATTTTAGGATTGGGTCCCTCGCACAAAGATACTAAGTATTACAGGCTCCGTGGCATCTGAAACTCTGCTCTATGATACTGGCATCAGCCATCAAAAACTCCATATCGGCCGACCACTAAATTGTAAACCTCCAACAAAGTGTTAACTTGTATAAATGCACACCACTAACCTGGATGATGGGTGTTCTTATCTGCAGGACAGCCAGCTTTAAGTCACTGTGGGAGTAAACTGCACCAACACATTCACAACATAAGACACTGTACATGCAAGAGTTGTTGGTGTAAGAAAATATGATTCTCATGAATTAAAGCTATGGTATCCCATTACCCTCTGCGCTGATGCTGAGCTGGGCAGCATCCTCAGTGGATGTGGCATACGGGTTGTTTCCAACCATGGGAATCAGACAGTCCGTGTGGAAGTATCCCACTCTGGGCATATTTAATGTTGAGATGAGGAGATCCACGGCGAGCTGTCCCACGTTTCCAACAGATACTGCAGGCTATGCACAAGAGAAACAATTATAAGTAGCTCAATGTTTGATAAGTGCAGCATACAGAGGATCACATGTGTTTGTTTGTGTGATGATGATGAAGCTGAAATACTAATGAAGGCAAATACTTTACTTACCATTATCAACGTAAAGCCTTTAAAAGATGGAACTACATCCCCCACCGAAATGAACATTTTTAAAACGGTTTAGATTTAATTTAGAAGATAAATTCAGATGAATTGCAGTGGATCTGTAGTGATTTTTACTTTCAATTTCTTGCGCTGTGAAAAAGGACCTGACATTACTGCGTCATGCCTCACCGGGACACCCT